CTATTTAATTGTATTATTAACACTAATTATACATGGTAGAACCTTTTAAAACTAATTCACCATTAATTATTATATATTTTACAATCAAATTAATTGTTTCTAAATTTATACATATTATTAAATTGGTATACAGTAAAACCCGATTATGAGAAAGTTATATTTCATACAAACTGCTGGTTCTATCATTGATTTTCGGCAAAAATTGAATCAATATTTGTCATTCGTTTTTGTAAAATAGCCCAAAAACAATTGATTTTGGTTTTGATTTTCTGATTTTAATCGATTATTATTTTTATTAGAACGTATTTTACAAAATGAAAAATTTGTGTACGTAAAATACACTGTAAAATACAACGTAAATTACGTACGTAAAATACGTGGTTTGTCATATTGCCAACCCTACTCAATTCCCATATGAATGCCATACAAATCATAGCGTTTTTTATTACAATACCAGTCATATTGAAAGCAATGTGATTCACAATAGACATGAACTTATCATTCATTAATCTGTTCCCCGCTTTACATATTGTTTATATGGAAAATGACTATTAGTCTCACACTATCGCGAATAATAAGAATAAAAAGCCTAAACAAGTTTCAAACCATTCATATTATGAATTTCATAAACAGTATTGAATATGAATTGAGATTTGTTGCTATAATCTGATTGATAATGAGATGAGTCGCTGACCCCAACCCCTCTAGAGGTGTAACAGTGTGTATGAGTGATGTGTTGTGGAGCGTATGGTCGGCGCCACTCTCGTGAGTGTTTGGCTCATGAATGCAAGCAATGGTAAAGTGAGGGCTGATTGAGGGCTGACTGACAGCAATAGTCAGTGCATAGAGTGATGTCATGTGCGATACGTGATATTGAGACTAAACGTAACAGTAATATAGAAATCATATGAATATCACATGAAAGAGATGTGATATTTACAAAAGCTATGGCTTTATGAATACCATTCACACAATTCCTATCACTAGCGATAACTCTCTCTCTCTCTCTCGTATTACCGATAAAAGTACCTTAACGTTATGATTCTCTCGGCTGCCCTCATGTGTCTCACAATTTCATTTTATTTCGTCATTTATTTTACGTATATTTTAAATATGATTAGATTTGTAGGTTTGATATGCATTGATAGCGTGTACCGCACTGTATATGATTCCGTCGGTACAGACATTATTGGTACACAATTTTGCGAAATATGATTTTGTAGATTAAATATATTGTTGTTGGCATCGATTCTGTGACTTACGCTCAGATAATTCAAACCCTTTTCCTACATATAATTCTCTGTATTTGGACACACGTTAGAAATTTAAGACAACCCACAGACAGACAGACACAGAATAACAACATAATAGTAATTGCATAATAAAATATGTTTTATACGTGTATGTGTTATAAATATATCCAATTTCATGATAACATTTTCAAATACCATATTAAAAGGAGTAAATATTTATCTCAATACACGTGTTGAACGATTGGTATTGAATTTTGCAATAAATCAAAGAACCCATACATGAGATGATTATAATACACCTGTAATTACTTGAATTATAAGGTGATAATTATGAAAACTATGCACTTTACACCCCATACGAGAATTTAGTGTTATATCATTTGTGGACACAATTTATGTACAAAAATAGCACAGAATTTCATTGAGAGAAGAGTGAAGAGAGTCTGGAGAGTAAGCGAGTTATCGCTAGTGATAGGAATTGTGTGAATGGTATTCATAAAGCCATAGCTTTTGTAAATATCACATCTCTTTCATGTGATATTCATATGATTTCTATATTACTGTTACGTTTAGTCTCAATATCGTAAATATTTTCATTTCATCACTAATTTTCCACTAATATCTTATTAATTAAATAATTATACAAATCAATTGAAAAATCTATACAACAAATAGCAAAAAAAAAATTATAAATTCGTATAAAATAATTGATGAAAAAGTGATGTTTTCATAGTATGAATGCATTTCTTGGCATCATTTGGATAATGAGTTTGCGAATTGAATAATGGGATGGCATTTGAGGGGAAATACAATTTCTAATTAAAGCCAATTAACTAATATATACGATGAATGCACTGCACATGTAATGTATTCACACATAATAACTACAAATCACTTGTAATCCAATGTAAAAACTCATTACTATTTTCGCATCAAAAGTAAAGCCACAAAAAGCTGTCATACATTTCATCAGTCATTGCAATTGAAAAGTGATTTAAATATTTTCAAACCATTCACACAATCAGTGTTTATACTCCCAATCATACAGTCGTTGTTGTATTTGTACAACAATTTGGTCCGCAAGTGATCCGTTGGTGAAGTGATCGGTTGTCTTGGAAGTGATGGCGAGTCGATTGGGTCGTCGGTACGGGAAGTACGCTCTGTTGGTCTGCGGCGCCGGCATCTCGTCGTACGCCGTGTTTCGGTTGATTGACCAGAAAAAAGAGGTACACTTTAGACAAACCAAAACCCAATCGGAGGTAAGCCCTGAAGGGATTGCATGTTTTCATCGGCCATTTGGTCCACACTTTTTGCAGAGATTATTAGTGAACGCCTCATCACAACAGACACTCTCGTCGTCCCATTTGAGGCCAACCTCTAGCAAAGGCCTGCCCTCCAGAGCCGATCAGCTCAAGAGTCTTCGCGATGGCAAAGAGTTTGACGTATTGGTGATCGGCGGCGGAGCCACTGGTTGTGGTGTCGCTCTGGATTCCGTCACCAGAGGTGCGTTACCACCAATTGTCTAATTGTCTACTCCATTGATGGCCACAATTGACACTAATTATATTGAATGTGACATTAATTGGCAATTGTTTTGATAGGTTTATCGACAGCATTGGTAGAGTTGGACGACTTCTCTTCGGGTACATCGAGTCGGAGCACAAAACTGATTCACGGAGGCGTCAGGTATTTGCAAAAAGCGATCCTGAAGTTGGATTTGGAACAATACAAGATGGTCAGGGAAGCGGTATGTCTTCACATTGATTAGCCATTTATGGCACACAACCACTAATCATATATTGTTTGGTATGTTTAGCTCCAGGAGAGAGCAAATCTATTAGAGATAGCGCCGCATCTGTCATATCCCTTACCCATTATGTTACCGGTCTATCATTACTGGCAAATACGTTAGTATTGATTAATTAATGCAATTTATGATTAACTTATATGACATGTAAATTGAATGGCAATTGCAATGATAGCGTACTTCTGGGTGGGCATAAAGATGTACGACTTGGTCGCGGGCACGAAGAACGTCAGGTCATCCTATTATCTCTCGAAGAAGGATGCGATGGATTTGTTTCCGATGTTGAGAAGCGATTCATTGGTCGGCGCTATTGTCTACTATGACGGTCAGCACAACGACGCCCGTATGAACCTCTCTATAGCGTTGACAGCAGTCCGATACGGGGCCACAATTGCCAATCACGTGGCCGTCACTAAACTCAATAAGGATTCCGACGGAAAGCTTATCGGCGCTCGACTTCAGGATCAGATTACTAAACAGGAATGGGATGTAAAGGCAAAGTCCATAATCAACGCCACCGGGCCTTTCACTGATAACATTAGACTTATGGACGATCAGAACACACGTAAAATATGTCAGCCCAGCGCTGGCGTTCATATCGTACTCCCGGGTTATTATAGTCCGGAAAGTATGGGTCTTTTGGATCCGTCGACCAGCGATGGACGAGTTATATTCTTCCTCCCGTGGGAGAAGTGGACGATCGCCGGCACCACTGATAGAGTGTGTGAAGTGACACACAGTCCGGCGCCGACTGAGAATGACATTCAATTTATTCTAAATGAGATCAAACATTATCTCAGCCCTGATATTAATGTCCGTCGCGGAGATGTGATGTCTGCCTGGGCTGGCATTCGGCCACTTGTTTTGGATCCGTCGAAACCGAATACGGAATCCATTGCAAGGAATCATATAATAAACACGAGTCCGAGTGGTCTCGTGACGATTGCGGGCGGAAAGTGGACTACATATAGAGTGATGGCAGAAGAGGCGGTCACTGAAGCGATTGCTACAAATCCGGATAAGTTAAGTCACGCCACAAAATGCAAAACATTAGGTCTTATTCTCGAGGGCGGACACAACTGGACCCCAACCTTATATATTCAGTTGGTTCAAGACTACGGCTTAGAGCCAGAAGTGGCCCACCATTTGGCCAATACATACGGCGACAAATCGTTTGCTGTGGCAAAGTTGGCCGAATTGACCGGAAAGCGATGGCCAGTCGCCGGACGTCGTCTGCATTCAGAGTTTCCATACATTGAGGCGGAAATTCGTTTCGCTGTTCGAGAGTACGCGTGCACTGCAGTCGATGTAATCGCCCGACGCTTACGACTGGCTTTCCTGAACACACAGGCGTGTGAAGAGACGTTACCACAAATTGTGGACATTTTGGCCGATGAACTCAAATGGAGTAAATCTGAGAAAGAGTTGCAATTGAAGAAAGCCATGGAATTCTTGCGGACAGAAATGGGACAACAGGTGAACAAAGAGTTAAGAGATTTGTCGCCAATATCTCTGACGAAGGATGAGATCAATAAATACAGCAAACAATTCCATTCTCTGGATCGCGACCGCAAGGGCTATATCGGTATCAATGACTTGAGGAGATCCATGAAAGTAAGCGCCGATTGACACTTGCATTCATTGATTCACGAATTGAAATGTTTTTTTGTGTATTTCAGGCACAGGGCGTGAAAATGAGCGAAGAAGACCTGCACGTAATGTTGAGCGAAGTGGACATTAACAAGAACGGCCAAGTTGAGTTGGGTGAGTATCTGGAACTGATGAGTGCCCTCAAGACGGGTACCATTTCCAGCAGTCGCTTCTCTAAGGCCGCAGAAATGGAGTTCAATAAGATAACAGTGGATCGCGCGGGCGGTGGCCTATAGGCGTACCAATGGTCACACTTTTTCCCACATTTATACCATAATTGAAACATTCAGTAAAATGTTATTTTTAGTTTTTATCTGCATTTCTCTATACAATCTCTGTATCGTTAAGTGTTTTATCGTGAAACTCATACTTAAATATCTAACATTCAAAGCATTCAATTAATGAAAAAAAATTAGTCATTTGAAGGCATTGTATGACATATTTTAGACCATTTCTTTGGTCACATTTAAGTTTTAAAGTTTGTTTTTTGTGACAAATATCATACCCTATACTTATATCGCTAAACACTTATATTAAGTTTTAAATATAAATTTGTTTTATTGTTATTATTTAATAACTAAAGAATTGTATATCAATTACTAAAACACCATTTAATTTAGATTACATATAAAGTATATTTCAAACAAATGTTGGCTTTTATTTAAAACTCTTATCAAAAGAAGACAAAAAATATAACCCATAGTTTTGGTCCAAATTAATGGTTTAATTAATTGGAAAATATATAATAAAATCATCGATAATATGGTTTAAAATGTGTGGAAACCTTTAAGAACGGGTATATTTGCCCCAAATATGAAGCATAAAAACGGATGCAATGAACACCAGACTCATGACCAGAACAGGTACGGGACCTCTGCATTGGGACAGACATAGAGAGCACCGGTTAGGGACAGGCATTGGACAACAATTAAGGTAAAACATATGGTTAGTGATAATTACACTTTAATTCCTGGCGAGTCGTCGGTATAGAACCTCCACATCCCTCCACTATTGGCTGCGGCCGCTCGCGACCGACCGGCGGACCCACTGCTGGCACCGCCGCCAACCTTACGCTGCTTTACAGTACCTCCGGATCCGCCCGTACTTCGGGAGGGCATCGCTCGGGGAGATCGACCCCCGGCTCCCACTGATGTACTGCTGGCCGGTGCGGGCTATCGGGCATAACATGCCTTAGTTTTGGCTTTAAATAGCATTTAATCGTCAATTTCTTACCATTTTATATGATTTTGTGAATGAAATACAATTAAAAGTTTAAATACAATTAAATGAGTGTTTTTTGGGACAGAGTTTCAAACTGTAGTGTTGTTTGCAATGAAAACACGTCAGCGATCGCACACCAAGGCATCAATTACGACCGCAAACACACTTTACTTGCGTTGCATTCAAGCGCTCACTCACTAAATGGGGTCTCAATTCCCATATGAATGCCACACAAATCATAGCGTTTTTTATTACAATACCAGTCATATTGAAAGCAATGTGTTTCACAATAGACATGACCTTAGCATTCATTAATCTGTTCCCCGCTTTACATATTGTTTATATAGAAAATGACTATTAGTCTCACACTATCGCGAATAATAAGCATAAAAAGCCTAAACAAGTTTCAAACCATTCATATTATGAATTTCATAAACAGTATTGAATATGAATTGAGATTCGTTGCTATAATCTGATTGATAATGAGATGAGTCGCTGACCCCAACCCCTCTAGAGGTGTAACAGTGTGTATGAGTGATGTGTTGTTAAGCATTGTTGAGCGTATGGTCGGCGCCACTCTCGTGAGTGTTTGGCTCATGAATGCAAGCAATGGTAAAGTGAGGGCTGATTGAGGGCTGACTGACAGCAATAGTCAGTGCATAGAGTGATGTCATGTGCGATACGACCGGCGATTCATTTGCCACACATTTGTCGCGATTTCCTATTGTTTTTCATTTCAATTGTCGCTTAATTTACGTTATTTTGAGTTAATTATTATTATTTTGTTTTGTAATATAGTTTTTGGCACTTTATTTGTAGTCATTGTTGAACACACTATACGTAACGCTAACGCAATACTAACCACCGTTTGATGCCAGCCATGGATTTGAGCCAAATCTTAAGCAAAACCATCTCTTCAGGTAATGAACACATCCGTTGATGCCATCCATGGCTACCATTGATTGTCTCGTGTATTGCAGATCAAAATGAATTGCAGGCATCGCTTCAATATCTGGAACAATTGGCTCAACAAAATCTGGTCAGTCTTTCGCTGCCATCACATGGAGGAGAGAGAGGCAGACAATCGTTCTCTCTTTGACCCATAAAACCACATCCAAAGCACATGTTTCTCCAAAGCATAGCATTCAGTCAATCATTCAATGATTTATCCCTTATTTTAAGCCTTTTTATGTATTTAAAGCCCAAAGAGATATCAAGTGATATAAGGAGTGGTTTTTTTGTTTCGTTATCTCAATGTTGTCTTCAAGTGATAACACGAAGCCATAGACTAATGAACTAATAATTAATGTTTTGTTTATTTAATGTCCATATCTTTCAAATATAGTCTGAATTTTTGAAACAATTGTCCGAAATCTTAAGTAATATATCCAACGATGCGGTCATACGAATGGCGGCCGCTCTTCAGCTCAAGAATCACTTGACCTCCAAAGATGTGGAAATTCAGAGACAATTCCAACAGCGATGGCTCTCTTTCTCCGAAGAGGTCCGCAATTATATAAAACAAAATGTATTGAATTCGTTGGGAACGGAGAACTCGCGGCCGTCATCGGCGGCCCAATGCGTGGCCTACATCGGGGTCGCAGAACTTCCTCACGGGCTTTGGCCGAATCTGATCCAAATCCTGACCCAAAACGTAACCAATCCTAACAGTACCGAAATGATGAAGGAATCCACTCTCGAAGCCATCGGTTATATCTGTCAAGACATCGACCCCGAGATTCTGGTCAGTCAGTCGAACAACATTCTGACGGCTATAGTTCACGGTATGCGCAAAGACGAGACCTCCACTCACGTGGTGTTGGCCGCGACCAACGCTCTCCACAACTCACTTGAGTTCACAAAAGCCAACTTCGATAAAGACACCGAAAGACATTACATTATGCAAGTGGTCTGTGAGGGCACACAATGTCCCGAAATTAAAGTATGTCTTATTGTTTACTGTTTATGTTTTGTGTTATGTTTCTATTGACAAATGTTATGCCATTGTTTAGGTGAAAGTGGCAGCCCTTCAATGTTTGGTCAAAATAATGTCTCTCTATTACCAACATATGGAGCAATACATGGGTCCGGCGCTGTTCGCCATCACAATGCAGGCCATGCGCTCAGAACACGACGAGATCGCACTCCAGGGCATTGAGTTCTGGTCCAACGTATGCGACGAAGAAGTGGATCTGTCTATTGAGGCGTCGGATGCGGCAGAACAGGGAAGACCTCCGTCCCGATCGTCGAAGTTCTACGCGAAGGGAGCGCTTCAATATTTGGTGCCAATTCTCGTCCAATCACTGACCAAACAGGAAGAGTCTGATGATGAGGACGACTGGAATCCATGCAAAGCGGCCGGAGTTTGTCTGATGCTTATGGCCTCGTGTACTGAAGATTCAATTATACCTCATGTCCTGCCATTCGTTCGCGAAAACATCACAAGCAATGACTGGAGGTTTAGAGACGCGGCGGTCATGGCTTTCGGGTGTATACTCGAAGGTCCAGAACAGGCGACTCTTCGCCCCATTGTTGAGAACGCGTTGGAAACACTGATTCGTTTGATGGGAGACCAGAGTGTCATCGTTAGAGATACCGTCGCCTGGACTATAGGCCGCATCTGTGAACTCATTCCCGAAGCTGTCCTCAAAGACGGCACTTTGAAACCACTTTTGGACGCTCTGCTCGAAGGCCTCAGGTCTGAGCCTCGAGTGGCCGCCAATGTTTGCTGGGCTTTCAATTCATTAGCCGAGGCCTCGTATGAGTCCGTACAGGAGGGCGACGGCAACGAACCCAAGACCTATTGTCTGTCGGAATACTTCGCTGGTATTGTCCAGAAACTGTTGGAAGCGACCGAACGTCAAGATGGAGGTCAGGCCAACCTTAGATCCGCCGCATACGAGGCACTGATGGAAATGATCAAAAACAGTCCTCTGGACTGCTATCCCATAGTCCAAAGCACAACAATGATTATATTAGAGCGACTCAATCACGTCCTCTCCATTGAGAACCACATTTCAAACCTCGAAAATCATATCCAAAACGCTCCCGACAGGGCTCAGGTCAATGATCTCCAGTCGCTTCTGTGCGCAACTCTGCAGTCAGTGCTCCGAAAGATGACCCCCGAAGACGCGCCCCGTATATCGGACGCCATAATGACAGCGTTGTTGCAAATGTTTAACGCGAGCGGAAAGTCTGGTGGCGTTCAAGAGGACGCACTGATGGCCGTCGGGACTCTTGTCGAGACGTTAGGCGAGAATTTCCTCAAATACATGGATGTCTTCCGACCCTTTCTCATCGTTGGTCTCAGAAATTTTGTTGAATATCAGGTGTGTTCGGCTGCTGTGGGACTCGTGGGTGACATCAGCCGTGCCATTGGTATCAAAGTGTTGCCATATTGTGATGAACTGATGACCGTATTGTTGGAGAATCTGCAGAACCAAGCCGTGCACCGAAGCGTAAAGCCTCAGATCCTGTCGGTGTTCGGCGACATCGCTCTCGCCATCAGCACTGAGTTCAAGAAGTATCTGGAAGTAGTGATGCAGACACTAATGCAAGCTTCGCAGCTGCAGATCGATCCAAACGATTACGATTTGGTCGACTATCTCAATGAGTTGAGAGAGAACTGTCTCGAGGCGTACACCGGCATCGTTCAGGGCCTTAAAGGGGACGCCGAAGTGCCCAACCCTGAGGTGCAACTCATCCAACAACACATCCAATATATCGTTCACTTTTTGCTGCAAATAGCGAACGATCCGGAGATCACTGATTCCTTGATAGCGGCCAGCGCTGGACTTCTGGGCGATTTGTGCGCTGCGTTCGGACCGGCGTTGCTATTGCTGGTGGAGAACGAGCCGATCCACGCTATGCTCCAAAAGGGCAAGAAGTCTAAGATAACGAAGACCCGAACGCTGTCGGGTTGGGCCGTGAAAGAGATCCGAAAGCTGAGAGCACCCGTCGCTGGTGTGGTGGGCGCCACCGCCGGTCTCGTGAACAATGTGATCGGTGCCACACAGTAGTAGTATATGTCATACAGAATACAATTAAACAATTTTAAATAAAATCGATATCTCATCCAATGAGTGTGAAAGGAGAGTGAAATTTCTTTACAACAAAAATCATAATACAAAACAATAATTATAATTACAAACAAACAAATGGTTTTGTACATCAAATAACACACCAATTAATTCTTGCGCTGCGATTGATTCCCACATTAAAAACTGCTGCGATTTGCGCCCAAACAGCGCGAAGTATGCGAGTGTGAGAGCGAGTGTGTGAGTGAGTGAATGCGAGAGTGAGAGAGACATACGAATCTTATGTCAAACATTCAATCAAACAACAGATCCAACAATATATTCATAAAATAATTGATACATTATTTCAGTACAAAAACACCAAATAAAACAACAATAAGAATACAATTTATGATTTATATATCGATTACTATTCATCTCTAAAAATAAATACAATTAAATATGAATCAAATTGAAATCAACAATAAATTTAAAAAACAACATTCATATGAATAAACATAAGTATGTAATCAATTAATATTAAAGACTATTAAAATTATATTACAAATTATACACTCGTTTCATATTTTATTTAACCAAACAAAATTGGCAAACTATTTGATTGACCACAATTGCAGTGATGCAAAACGAGCATTACAGTATTTTTTATGGCTTATCAATATTCTTTTAATTTGCTCAATGAACATGTTGAATTACGTTTGACCATTTGTTACACAATGAAATGATCATGTATGTTTTAGGTCGCATTTTTGACTATTTTGTATTTAACCAGGATTTAGCATAATATTTCAGCCCACCTTAACTCCAATTTATGGGATTAATATAGGATGTGGTGCTAAATCTATAGCTATCCCTATTAGCTTTATCGCATAGTTATTGAGTTTATTGGGAATATTGCAACGATTTAATAAATGAACATTGATTGACAAATTACTTATAAATTTGAATTGTATTATGTAATTAAAAGTTTGTAGAATCTATATATTTAAAGTTGTTTCCGGGAAACTATTAATAAGTGAAATGAATGAATAATTTATATTTCTGTATAAAATATATATAAATTTATGGCAAAATGAATTATTTATTTGATTTGTTTATTATTTGTTTGATTTACTGACGGCTTATTTGACATAATTATGACATAAAGCTATTGACTAGAAGTTTGATCTGTTGTTATCAATACCTCTCATTCAAACAGATTATAGCTTTATTTGAATTTTAATCAATTCTATGATTAGTTTAACTATAATTAAAAGAAACATAACTTATATTAATTGATCTTAACATAACTTCAAAATTGTGTTAATTATAATGTATTTTCTTATAATTTAATTCATAGGAGTTTTAATCAAAAATAAGAAGTTTTGAAAGTTTTTGTTTTTCATTTCACTATAAGAAATGATACAACAAATATATATTTCATTAATAAACAAATCGGAAAATACATAATCAGTATAATTATTATTAACTATTAATCTCATGAATTATTAATATAAATATACATACCGTTATATTTTGTTAATTAAACACTTTTTCTACTATTTTTAAAAAATGAAAATCAAAGTTCAGAGTTATCTATATTTAAAGTAATAAATAATAAAAACCATACAAAAAATAATACCAAATACTAAAATTGAAAATATTTTCAAAATTAGATTTAATTCATGAGAAATGATAGCCTCGGGAGTCAAATATATAGAAATTTTATTGCAAACAAAAAATTATTTGATTAAAATAATTATTATTCAAATCATAAATAGCAGCAATAGTTGGTTTACTTTAACATTTATTAAAATTATATACCATATTATAAGTATAACTTGAGATAACACTAATTTAAATAGCGTTTTGTTAAACCAAAGCTGTTTTCTCACAATTATGTGTTGAAATATACTCTTAATTATGAGATTTTCACGACATTTCAATTTGAATTTAGTTTTTAAAGGCATTAGATTTTTGAAACAAAGTTATAATAAATTATTGTATAGTTCACAAAAAGCACACGTTTTCCACATAATTAAAAGTACAAACTATTTTGACATTCAATTACAGATTAAATTTTATATATAATCTCGTTTTCCTCTCTATTGTCGATAATCTTCCAAATAATTTAATTAATGAAAAAATAGTACCAAAAAACTTATCAAAATTTTGATTATTTTTATGGTTTGATTAGAAGACACTGTTCTTCGGTTTCAATTCGCTATAAGTAATAAATTCATTAAAAATATACATTTATTTTTATTAAAGCACAACAAAAAATGATTAACAAAAAAGTTTTTTGTTGTTTTAATCGATAATTTTCTAGTGTATTATCCGACGCGTGATTTCGTGATGAGAGCCTCACAAACATCACAATTATTTGTTCCCTTATTTTAATGAATATATTGAAAGAAAATATGTTTTTCTTATATCAGTAGAAATATTATAATATTTTCATCTCTTTTCTCCAGTGAATAGCAATTTGATATCTGAAGACAAATCTATTGCAATCAATCAGTTCTTGGAGTCAATTATCAATCAATTCTTTTAAATAAATTGTAATGTTTTTGATTTTGTTGTGTTTTTTAGTTTTTTATAGCTCTTTCATTTAAACAGAATAATTATACGACTATTTATTGATTGCTTTATTGAAATATCTCCCTATTCTCTCTCTCCCAATGCCATACAAACACGTCTATTAAGACATATTTATTCAATTTTGTAATAAATGTACAATA